TCTCACTTGCCGTGCAAAATATATCCATTATTGCGCCCCCCCCCCCCCCGCAATACAAAAGTCTATTTTTATACTTTCTGCATTGTGTACAGTCTGGAAGCTACCCACATGCCAAATTTCAAATTTGTTGCACGTCGGGAAGTATGCTAAACATTTCGAACAGACACACACATTCGCAAATTTCCCTTATATATAGATGAACGCTGCACTCTCCATCGTTTCCATGCAGGGAGCGCTGCAAACTTACGCGCCCCCTGCATGAACGACGGAGGTGCAGGGACAGACGTTCGATTACGTTGGAATCGATCTGCAGACGGCGGTCTTCTCGCACGGCCAGCAGCTCTATGTCGCCTTATCTCGATCCCGCAATCCCAAACAGGTGAAAGTCCGCATCGAACCGAACCCCCAGCAAGGACATCTACTTAACGGCGAGAGATAATTCACACAAAATGTCCTTTTCAATGAAGTCTTCCAGATGTAAAATGATGTAAGCTTTTAATGAAGAAATATAATTATCTAATTCAAAACATAATACAATTCAAAGATGTTTCATTTTAAAACTTCAAAACGGAGCATCAGGTGCTTGCGTGAATGCATCGTTCGTGTGCAATTTTTTTCGTGACTTTCCTGGCCGAAGGCCATAAATGGTTGTGAGGGGCGCCCCTGAAAAACTCCTAGAATATCTATAAAACCAGACTCTTTGCGGGGAAATCAGCAACCCGGATTTCGTTCTCGTTCACGGCTAACATCAGTGGCGAGTCACATCTGAACCGGTCATTCCCCCCCCACCTCCCCTCTTAACCAGTCCCGCTCAAACAGCTCATCCTTTCACCAGCCTACGGTGACCAGTATGATTAAAACAAATTAAAGTGTCCTCTCGACCAATGCGACACGAGGAGGCCTTCATCCAGCAGTGGATTGCGCAGGGCAGTAGATGGCTTATCATCATCTGTGCACCGTATTGGACACACGCTCCGTATTCGAATGCCGACCTCCCACTCTCCCGAATGTGGCCCTCTCTCTCTCTATGGATGTCTTCCCCGAATACAAAGAGACGCGGGAGCGTTTAACCTTGTTGAGGACATCGCTGCCTGTAACAATTGGATGCATTCATTTAGCATTGTGAGTAATTTGATAAATAATGAAATAAGCGAATAACCGCACACGTTGCCACTGAGCGCCGCATACAATCCCGTCCAAGGCTGAGTGTGATTATAATGAAGACATTTTTATAAATAGTTTTCTTCTTTCTGGTCCCCTGGCTAAATTGAACTAATGCGCAGATTAGGCAGTCACATTAGCCAATTAACTTGTAAATATTAATGCCATGTTGACTTTTCCTCATTGGCAAACCCATGAATATATTATGTGCCTGAGAAGTGGCTGTGAGCTGCATCTAATACAATGTTTAATGTATTCAGATGAGAATAACTCAGATATACGGTATTAAGGTTAGACTTAATTAACTTTTGCCATAATTATAATTCAAATCCACGTTCATTAAAAGTGTAACTAAATTCAGTGTTGTGCGTGTGAATATCTATCATCTCATGCTGCCAAATAAAGACAACATATTTCCCAACGCAGCAATAAATACACAGGATGGACACACCACTGATATTTTATTGCGCCGATTTAGAACATTTTTAAGTCTGCAGTATTTTGATCCTGATGTTTTGATTTCCAGTAGGAACTCAGACTGACCGAAATTACCAAATATTGAAACGAGCCATATCATTAACAACACAACAAACAAACAAACGTTTGTCAATAGCACTGTGGCCTGAAAAGAAACATTATAAGTGACGTTTTGGATGATGGCCCTCCTTTCTTAGCACTTAAGAGAAGCGAGAGTTTAAAATAATAATACGCGTGGGAGACTGCACTTTATGCTATGTGGAATACATTTATATATGAAGAAAAATGTGCTGTGATGAGCAGAGTTTTAAAATTGGCATATGAACCGTAAACGAATAGTAGCTGTTGAGTAACATCCTTAGATACATATTTAAATCAGCTCAAGCCTCTCCCACTCCGAGTCCCTCCCCTCCGCCCGCTGTGAAAACAGACGCCGCTCCGGCTTGCAGCAGCGTCAAGGCCTCATCATGCTCCTGTTTCTTCGTTCATTCCCATCGTTGTCCTCTTCCCGTGCCCCCACTTCTCTCTTCCCTTGCACATTTTCCCACGCGCGACATCGCTGACTCCCATTCCCGTGCAGGCGGCGTGACACGGGTAACAAAGTTGCTCGTCATCAATAATAGTCAATGTACGATGACAGTTTTATAAAAATACACATCTTTGTACATTTTCAAACTTTTAACGGGAGGCTAGTGTCGTGCTGTTTTGTAAATGTCTTGGAACGACGCCATTGCAACAACGTGCAAGTGAGAGTTGGCGAGGAGGGTGAATGATCGTTTTGATCGCCAGGTCAAACCCCGAGAACGCGTCTCTACTGCGGACACGCTCGTCTCAACCGCGAGGCCCACCGTGTTTGTCGTACACTCTGCCATGTTGTTGCTGTTATTGTTGTTAGTTATTGTAGCTGCCTGCACGGTGGGGCAGGGGGGGGGCGGTGGCGTGAGCATCCGCCCTTGCCCGTGATGGGGCGACTGGTGATGTCCCCAATCCTTCCCGCATGCGGCTCACGTCCGCAGAGCCGCTGTGTGTGACGGAATGTGAGCGGGCGTCACATCCTGCGCCCCCCTCTCTCTTTCTCTCTCCTTTAGCCGCCCCCCCCCCTACATGTTCCCCGAGAAGCCAAGGCTTTCACCCACACATGTATATAGATACCAACACACACACACAATCACGCAACCATGCGCAAAGACATACACAGAGATAGGCAGCTCATGCACAGATCCTCTTCGTAGCCGTTCACAGACAGTTGGGGAAAGTGATGTTAGCGGTGATGGTGTGGCTAGAACCACGCCCGGGCGGCCTTTGTATCTCCCGTGGTGCACACACTGATACGGGTGCGCAGTACGGCCACTTCACTGTCGCTCTCCTCCCCTTCATCTCGCCAGCCCCTGCTCGTTCCATCATCAAACAACACCGTCGCCCATTGGCATCGCCATCATCATCAGCACCAGCAGTGTGAAGCAGTAGCTCGGGTTGTTGCAACGACAAGTCAGTAAACCGGTCACCGTTTTTTCTGAGTTGATAACCGGTTCTGAAAGTTAAAAAAAACGGTAACCGTTTTTTCTGAGTTGATAACCGGTTCTGAAAGTAAAAAAAACCGGTCACCGTTTTCTCTGAGTTGATAACCGGTTCTGAAAGTAAAAAAAAACCGGTCACCGTTTTTTCTGAGTTGATAACCGGTTCTGAAAGTAAAAAAAAAAACGGTCACCGTTTTTTCTGAGTTGATAACCGGTTCTGAAAGTAAAAAAAAAACCGGTCACCGTTTTTTTCTGAGTTGATAACCGGTTCTGAAAGTAAAAAAAAACGGTAACCGTTTTTCAGAGTTAGTAAACAGTTCTGGAAGTTAAAACCGGTAACCTTTTCAAATTTGATAACTGGTTCCAAAAGTCAAAAACCAGTAACCGTTTCCAATGCAATGTTATAAATCTAAACAATGCACTCACAAACTACAACTTTTTCCATTCGGTTACTGGTAATGAAAACACATATTTAACAGCCTTTAAAAGTGGCAAAATAAAGGCGACATGTATTCTTCACGTATTCATCTCTCCACGTAATTTTAACATCATTTCTAACATAACCCATCAGCCTCACAACCTTCTGGGAGTGCATAATTTCAGCAGCTTTGAGTCAAGATGGGCAAACACACTGAACCGGTTACGACATACAGCGTCTCAGTTCAATGCATACGTATATTTAACGCAACTCAAAAAATGAATTTGCGTCGTTGTGGATCATTAATATGATAGACAACATGAACGAGCCATAGTAGCATTGGTACCTGGCTGGAATCGCATCAGAAGGAGCAGAACGACCCATTACAAACAACAGCAGCAAGTCTACCACATCAGCATCATCCGCAGTGGTCATTCAGAAACATCAGCAACAGCAGTGTAACCACCACTATCGGCAGCAGTTACAGTAGTGCGTTTGCTGCTTGTTTCAGAGGATCACGGTTCGTATCCCAGCGGCCGCCCTCGTTAACACTGCGAGTGTTTCAACCATAATTACGCGCCCGTCAGCTTCACGGTTAACGTTAAAGGTCCCGTGGCGTCGTTTTCAAGAGGAGGTTTATTGCTGCGCTGGCGTCGTGGTCCAAATTTGAACAATTACCCGCAAATCACTCAACTGAAACACACACACGCACAGACAGCGACCGTTGCGCCTTTCAGCGACAACTTGGCAGGACCCTCCTGAATCGAGTCACGAGGATCAGTGAGGCTCTCCTGCGCAAGCACGCGTAACAATAATACTAATTGTCATTAGCTTCATTCGCATAAGTCACGTCACCAGCAGTGGCAGCAACCACATCATCACGCCAAGCAGACGGATCATCAGCAGCGGCACAACTGGCGACCGCCAACAACACAACCGCCACCTCCAGCAGTAGCAGTCCCACCGTTGATAACAGCAGCAGCAACACCATCACAGCTACCTCCCACACACACAACTACCAGCAAAAACATGGATGGCAGCAATAATCCCATCGCCAGCAGCGTCAGTAGCATCATCAATAGAGTGGGCAACATCAGCACAACTACCACCACCACCAACGCGTCCAGCAGCATCAGTGACACCAGCAGCACAAGCAAAACCATCAACCCCACCAGTACCACCGCAAGCTCAGCACAGCAACAACCACCACCAACACAACTACCAGCAGCGGTAACAGCCGCATCTGCAGACTTGGCACCACCGCTAACATCAACCATGCAGCAGCAGCATCATCAGCACACTCAGGAGCAGCAGCAGCATAAGTATCAGCAGCAGACGCGAGCGCGATCGGACATAGCCCCGTCCCCCGCCCCCATCTCCTCCTCCTCCTCTCTCCTCCCTCCTCCTCCTCCTCCCACTCTTTTCAATTCAAACAGGCGACCGGATGACCGAGAGGTCCGAATTAAGGCAGTGAAAGCGGAGAGGTGGAGATCGAGAGCCACATTTGTCAGCCCGAATCGCTCCCCGTGTGGCCCCCTCCTCGTGCGATGATTGTCTCAGCCCCGAGCCGCCACCACCACCACCACAACCACCTCCACTTGCAGCACCACCACTTGCACCACCACCACCACCATCTACATCTCTTCCACCTCCTCCTGCTCGCGCCTCCGCTGCAATCTGCATCAGCTGCTGCCGCTGCGGGCTCCCCTCGGCTCCTCCGCGCTTAATGCGAACCCGAGAGCCGATCTCCCACGTCCCGGTCCGCCTCCACAAACTTACTTTGCAGCCGCTCCTCCACCTCCTCCTCCACCACCGTCTCCTCGTCCACCTCGCACCCTCTTCATTCTCTCCCGGCCGCTCATCCAACTTCATCGCTGCTGCCCGCCCCGCGTCCTCTTCGCTCGCCCGTTTCCTCAGCCGCTTCCTCCTCTTCTTCTCGGCCCTGCTCATTGTCATCCGTCTGCTCCTTCCTCATCCTCGTCGCCCGCTCCTCCAGCAACTCCTCGGCTGATTCCCTTCCACCCCCTCTTTCCTCCTCCAGACGTCCCAGCAGCTCGTCATCGTCATCATCATCATCATCCTACTCGCCCGTCCCTTCCTCAAGCTCCTCCTCAACGTCATCATCGTCGTCGTCAGCCCGTCCCAACATCTCCCCATCCTCCTCATCCGTCCATCCCATCACCTCATCTACATCAGCATCCTCATCCCTTACACACTCCTCCTCCTCGCCCGTGCGTTCATCCAGCCCACCATCACCATCCTCCTCCTAAATCATCATCATCATCATCGTCGTCCTCCTCCTCGTTCTGTAGCTCATCCTCACCTCGTCGCAGCAGCAGCAGCGGCAGCGTGCGGCAACCCGGACGAGGCTCGCTACCTCCGCCGTTGCCGCTGTCCGCGCCGGCGCTGCTGCTGCGCTGTGCAGGGATGCTCAGGATATTCCCGGAGCACGGCTTGCGCAGCCCGGCAGGAGAGCGGCAGCAGCAGGAGGAGGAGGAGGGCCCGGACGACGCCGCGCCACGGCGGACAACGGCGGCGGAGGGGTCCTCCTCTCAGGGCGTGAGAGTCGAGCCCGGAGGAGCCGTGGTGGTGGGGCCAGGGGGAGCCTCCTCGGGGTTGCCCTCCTACCAGCAGCGGTGGGTCCTGCGACATTACAGCATCGTCGTCGTAATCATCGTTATCGTCATCACACGTCTTCATCGGTAGACACCATCGTCGTCGTCACACCATCATCAACGCCAGCGGTGTTGCTGCGTGGTCGAGGTGCCAGCGCTCCGTGTGTGCAGTCACGGTCGTGCGTGCTGCAGCTGTGATTTCACTGGCACGGGAGTTGTACTGTCGTTACGCGTGCAGTCACACGCACACGCAGTCACACACACAGTCACACACACACACAGTCACACACACAGTCACACACACAGACACGCACACACGCACACACAGTCACACACACACAGTCACACACAGTCACACACACAGTCACACACACACAGTCTCACACGCACAGTCACACGCACAGTCACACGTACAGTCACACACAGTCACACACACTGTCACACACACACGCAGTCACACACAGTCACACACACACAGTCACACACACAGTCACACACACAGTCACACACACACAGTCACACACACACAATCACACGCACAGTCACACAGTCACACACACAATCACACACACAGTCACACACACACAGTCACACACACATAGTTACACAAACCAAAGGCAAAGATCACCCGTATAGCCTGTGTATACTTTTAAGGGCGAGTGCTGTGAGCCAGCACATATGAATGCCGTCGTGGCCGCCTTTGTCTCCCCAATGCTGAATGTTTACCCACCGCACCAGGGTACTCATTTAAGGCTGAGTGTATGTAGAGGAAGCCCAGGACCGGTTCAGATATTCGTCACTGATGTTGGCCGTGAGAGGGAATCGACATCGGGTCGCCGGGTTCGTAGCGTAGTGCGCTAACCATAGCACCACCGCTCCCCAACACAGTCGCACAAAGCCACACACACACGCGTGTGTATTAGTCAGGCGTATGGTTAGTTACACGTAGCAGTCACGCGTCTCGCACACAATCACACGTAGACATACACGTGTGTTGTCTTACACACAATCGCAGGCACACGTAGCTATACACGTGTGTGGTCCTACAATCACAGACACACACACACACACACGTAACCATGCACGTATGTAAGTTGGACAGTTGACCGGAATGTCGACCTTTTTATTCCCTCTCAGTTGCAATTATTAAGACCAGCCTGGTCATGTGTTTTCTTTAAAATTAACTTGTGAGTCATTGTGTAAGTTCACTGGGGCAGTAACTCTGCTGGAGTCACACGCACACACACACGCGCGCACTTACGCACACTGGGAAAGACGTAGAGATGACGGCAATCTGTTGTGACCCTTCCCCTTGTACAATATTGGCAATGTACACGCGCAATTATTATACCAGCTTCTCACCCAATGCACGCGGACGTGCCCTGGGCGTTACTCGAAACGCCATGGAGGCGGACACGTGGCGCTCACATTTCGCGGTAGTCGATTCTTTACGGCTTGCTGTATCCTTGAATTTGTATTTTAAATGTGGGCCTCAGAAGAATATCCGTGCGCTTTGACTATTGGTTGTTACTCATTGAGGGGGGGGGGGGGGGCGCAACGGTTCATCCCGAAGTTGCACGTTTCTCCCGAGTCTCTCGCTAAACATACTAATGGGATTCCCATAATCGGTGGACAGAGTAATTCGCCTGCAGGTGGAGTGTGACGCGCAAGCCGCTAAAAAGTTGGTATGAAATGTGACCTGTGACTTCACTTGAATAAAGATTGCTTTTAATTGTCATAAACACGGAGGTGATCTTAACGTATTTGCTTAATATTGGCAAAAGAACACGTGCAGTGCAACTACCTGGACTATTGTAGTGATGTAGTGAACCCCAGATTTGGTCTGCCAGCACCTAACACCACCCATGCCGTAATTTTAATGTATACTGAATAGGCAACATTACAAAGTGCACGTAACTACACACAATTCATGTTATGCACCGGATGGATGTTGCAATTCACACGTGATATATTATCCCTGCTCATGACGTGGCTCTTAGACTCTGCAACGACACCACAAGTTCACTTCACTACCATGAGCAGTGTCCCTAACATAGCCCGCACATCACTTGTAGACTATGTACAAGCATTCAGCTCTATGGCCCTGTTGTGTGGTGTATTTGTTGTTGAAGGACATCCCGTGTTTCCTTTGAATGTCGAGAAACGGTGGTGCGCGTTTAAGATCCATCCTGAGTGGCGTGTCTGTTTAGCACGCGATTCAATTGCGGCGCGGCGTTGATGTGTTCATGATTCCGACACAACTGCTGCTGCTGCTGTAGCAGACGAGGGATTTGTCAATATATTTTGAGAGCACGTCAGGCCCTCGAGCGTGGCACACCGATGTCCCAGCAGTGTGCCCTGGTGGCAGTGAATATTGTTAATGCTCAGTTACAGAATTACAAACACAGCTGGGCTTCACGACACAGCCCATTGCATTGCTTGGTCGGTGGTTTACCATCTCGTTAGTGCGCCATCGCTCACCTTACCCTTTGCATAGCGGTGTATAATCTTCATTAAACATACTGGGGTGGAACATTTGGACATTGTGTATATGATGGAGAATTATTACCCACGATGCTTCGTGGGGACATTGCGTGACCCACCGCGTGCGGCAGGTGCCTGCATCGCGTGTGTCCTTCCAGTATCGCTCGATTTTTTTTTTTGCGCGTGTGGGCGACACATGCAGGCGATGCGTGGGGTGGCCACGACAGCAAGATTCCCTTTTACAATTCGCAGGCACAGGCAAATAATAATAATAATCATCATCATCGTCACAATAACCTTAACGATAAGAGTAGTTGGTTTAAGTGAGCGGCGTGCAAGTTCATATTACACCACCTTCATCTGTCACACTCTGCAATAACAATTACTAAGTCGGAAAATAGTGACTAAATTAGCGATTGGCCTTAACCGCTCGGCCCATGCCCCCATCTCCCATCCTGTCGCTCGCTGCGCTTGGTGATGCGAAATGCAGTGACGACCAATGCATTGGCTGCAGGAGAACGTGGCGATTGAGGCTTCGCGAGTCACAGCTTGCTCGGTCAATCCACTGTCACAATGCTTCTGGAACCCGACAGTACATCGCATGAAATCCGCGTTTTTTTCAAATGAAAGATATACACACACACACACGATGTGGTGTCATTTGTTGGAACGGACAGCGCCGTCGTTGAGATGACAACGGCGAGGATACAATTTGATGTACGTCCCCACCCGGTGCGTCTCATGAACCCACCACCGCCCATGCCATCATCGCCTACACCTGTTCGCACACGAGATGTCACAGATGTTGGCAATTAGCTGCTGCGAATTACATTTGCCAGGGAGAGAGAGAGAGAGTCGTTCCCTTTATGGCCACGGTTCTGCATTCTAATCAGCCCATAGACCACCGTGGTCCGCTCGCAATGGCATCGTAAAACGCGTCTTTGCGTTCAATTCAGCTTGATATTAGTTCTCTGCGTTCAGCGTTTAAATGGCATTCCAATCCGTGGAAATGAGAAAAATGATTGACTTAGTTTAAAAAAAAACACCTCGGGGTGTTAACAGCGGACGGTGCTACGTCGGCCGCGAGTTTGCGCGTGAGTTTCGCTGTGTGTTTTCCGCCGTCCGTGCTCGTAATTGCTCGTTGTTTGATGCTGCCACGACTGCATCGAGCAAAGCGGAGCTCGATTTTGATGTTGTGGAAGGCACGTGAAATATGAGATGTTTTTTTTTTTTTAACGGGGCGCAGCACAGCGATATTGCGCCCCCAATTAGATATTTACCCCGGGGACGATTCCATCCAATATGCAAGGACGCTAAGTAAAGAATCTGTTTTGTTCAGTTGGATTGCGTTAAATCGCCGTGGATTGATATGTGTGGTCTTAAGAAGGGGGGGGGGGAGGGGTGGGGGATGTAGCCGGGCACTAAGCGATATTAGACTCATGAGTGGCCCAGCAGGCGCTGCAAAGCAATGCCCTGCTCCTCAGACGTAGATCTTTGGATCGAAATTCTTGTTAGTCGGCGGTGTCCACGGTGGGGGAGCATTACGCGTGCCATACCAACCTCTTCGCGGGAGCTTTTGCCTTGAAATTATCGGCAAGAAATACGGAGTACCCAACAAACCAGACAGTTGAGTGTGAAGTGTCTCTTTAGGCCGGGGCAGCTCGGGGTAGCAGCAGCAGCAGCAGCGCAGTTTGTCAGCGCGATGAACCCACTGACCCCAGTTAGTCCCGGCCCGCAGCCGACGTCTGTGGCATCCCTTCACCGACTCACATTGACCAGGGTGGTGAAGTACGTTCAAACCACTCCCCCCCCCCCCCATTAACAACAACGGGGTGTGAGGATGCCTTGAACCAGCAGTGGATTTACTAAGGGCTGTAAAAAAAAGAGGTCATCACAGCCATTGGATATTTATATGAATGTATCATGCGCTGAATTGCCTTGAATGTGAAAGGTGTTCGGAACGTGTTGACGGTGAGATACTAAAAAGTCATATCGGGTTTTTTTGAGAGGTAGGGTTTTGAGAAGCCTCCCTTGAACACACGGTATCATAGTGTGTATGTTGACAGGGGTGAGAAAGTAGTCAACAAATTGTTTTGAGTGTTTGCACGTGTTTAATATGGCATTCTCAAAATGTTTGCACCGTTACTGAACACCCAAGGCTTAAGCATAACAAATCGGGTGAATCGAAGACTCGGTGTTGACATAAATGCGTGGCAAATGCAGGGCTTCATTTCAGCCGGATCTGTCCTGGTTGGCGACCCGTAAAATAAGGCCCGGCATACCACATCCTGTATTTTGCGCATCTGCGGCCGTCTGGAACTTTCTTCATTCCTATATTAGGAAGCCACTGGAGCTATGCACATTTTTTTCGTCTAGATTGAAAAATTATTTCTTTAGAACTGCTTCTTGTGATTATTTGTCCTTCTCCCGCACCTCCGATTAGCGCGGTTGCCTCCGTATGGTGCGAAAGGTCAACGTACGCACAGTATTGCTCTCGCAATAGCTGTGGATGCTACTTATGTGCCTATTCCAGTGCG